GCTCGATTTAGGTCGAAGAGGAACGTTCTCCAATTTTTTTTATGAAACCAGAAAATGAATGCAGGACTGATGAACAGAAATAATTATATCTTTAAAGCCTCCAAAATATATATGGTTATACTTAGAATATTGGTATTATTGACTTTATTTTTATTTATTATTATTATATATAATTTCTAGAAATAACTTGGTGCTCACGTTCGTTTCGATAATAGATGGTAATATGTTTAATGGGATATTCTTCTAGTAGATCTACTCTCCACCATCGTGTAGAATTATCACTACTAGTATCAGAACATTTGTTAGATATATTAGTAGTATTGTCACCATCAACAGCTAAATCAGAAGTTCCAGCACCATTTGTTTCAACCTGACTTGATGGTTTACCAAGAGCTACATTCTCTATAAAATATTTACATCATTACAAAAATGTTCAGTCAATATCAGGCTATTATTATTATATTCTTACACTAACATAAGTTAATCAACGGATTTTGAATAGACAATATAATGAAAGAAATCTGCCAACGAAATGCGAGTCAATAATACACTGTCATGCTAAATTTGTATAACTCACAAAACCATTTCGGTTTCTTTAGCATAGTAACTCTGGTTACTCATCAACATGGCTATGAAAGGATGGTATCAGGAAATTTGATATTATATCTCTTCCAGATTATTGTGTCCTAACCATTCCGTAACCCAAAAATTTCTTACGTTTTTGACAAGTAGCACCAGACCATCCTATTGCACAACCTTCACCACACTCGCCACTTTCTCTATGACATTGTTGATCATTAATACAGTGACAGGTAAAACTATTATCTTCTCCAAATTTAACACCTGTATTTAATAAAATAATAAAGCCTTAATATTTGCTCTATGGGGAACTGGATGGATATGCATAGTTTTAAGGGTAAACAAGTCCCAAAACGATCCAACCGAGATTTTTTTACTTCGTCGGGAATTTGGCTTATTCAATTTCAACTATTATGACAAGGTTTGTTACACATCAGTCCAGGAAGATACATGGATGCTCGAGTAATTGCAATATATATGATGAGGACTAAGTCAGTTTAATAGACAATGCTGTTTTAATGATTCTTCAATTAATTGGTTATGCTTCATGATAACTATTTTTCTAATATTATAATCATATAAGATATATATACACTTACAAATGAAATGAAATGAATGTTTTACGTCCTACTTTTCTGCACTATGTGGGCTAATGAAGACGGGCAACACCAGGGTGCCTTGGGGAACATTTTGCCAGGACAGCGGCATTAGTCTGTGCTTTTACGATTTCCAACTGTCGAGGGATCTTTAACGTGCACAGCCTGTAGCACATAGGGCCTCGGTTTATTGTCCCATCCGAACGACTAGACCCTTTTTCTATGTCAATCCCTCCTACCCCCATCTAATAGGCTAATGAAGAGAGATATATACTTACATTGAGTGTAGATAATAATACAAAA